CACCCCCCCCCCTAGTGCCCCTTTTTTGGTTTGGGCCACTGCCCCTCAAAATGTCTGTGCACGGCCCTGTGAACAACTATCACTAAACAAAAAAACACGGCTGTGGATCATTCAGGGAACAACACAGTATTAAGAATCAAGTGGATGTAAACTTTTGAACGGGGTCATTTTTATAAATTCAGCTGTTATTTTCTCTTGTGGACTATATGTAAAATTATTTTATGTGAAATACCTTATTCAGGTCAGTACTAAATAAACAATAACATGCATTTTGTATGATCCCTCTTAGTTTGGTAAAATAATTAACATTTTGCAGATTCTGAAAGGGGGGTGTAAACGTTTGACCTCAGTTGTATTAAACATTACACATGTAAACATATATTTAGACAAAGGCAGCAAACCCACTGTAGGCGTACTAAATTAACCAAACATGGGTATGCACATTTAACCAGGAGTGTTAAAATTTGAAGTTTGCTTTGTAAAAATTTAACTATTTCTCTCAAGGCAAGACAGAAGCTACCTCTGAAACAGCATATACCATATGTGCATAACTGTTAATGCTGCACAAATGTGGCATAAATGTGTTTACACAGGAATAGGATATTAATGTTTTAAAGATGAAATTATGAAATGCAAAAAATGAATGTATTAATTAGTGTTCACTATACACTATCTATCACACATTTAAAATTTGTGACAGAATTTTGCCTTCTGGGTACTGGAAGTTTTTTTTCCATTTGTTTCTTATCTTTGTGCACATTGTGCGCATCAGTCTAAAATTTTGTAAACTATGGCATTGAGTTCTTTGGCTGTTCATATACTTTCGATACAATATGAACAGCAAAACTCAGGTGTAGGCATAAGTGTGCAAATGTTACCTGAGCAGATGACTCCAGCATCTTTAGCATGACCACAGAAACTTTGGTCCCATCCTTCTGATCCACAGTCCTTCAGTGTGGATTCCGAACCAACACATCTGACAAAACCCATCCAGATTGGTCCTGATCCTGGTCCAAAGTGTGCATTACCCCAAGCATCTATAGGTTCTCCACAGTCCAGCTCTCTACACACCACTGCAGCATCAGGCAAATCCCAGGCAACATCACACACTGTTCCCCACTGACCTCTATGAAGAACCTCCACTCTACCAGCACAGCGACTGTGACCATCAACCAACCTCACATTCACACGGTCTAATATTTTAAACAAATGAGAGAGAGAAAGAGAGGCATATTGTGAATTAATAAATAATAATATTGTCATCTGAAACCTACATTGTAATCAAACATCTTGAAGCAAAAAAAAAAAAAAAATTCTGTCCAATTCCAGAAAGTGACATTTCTTCATCCCTCTCTCTGTTTTTTTATTTTATTTTTATTTTTTATTTGTGTACTTACCAGCTGTGATGAGTATTACAACTGCAGACAGTAAAATGAGTGTCAAGCATCTCCCCATCATCCTCATCCTCAGCATTATTAACTCAACACCCAGTACAAGCTTCTCTGCTCTGATGATACAGAAGTACAGGCATCCTCTCAGCCCCCTTAATGAGAGAGAAAGAGGCCCAACACCCTCCAATCACACTCGCTATTACCTTATTAGACACAACAGAGGAAATCATCAAACAACTTCAGTGACAAATCAGAGGACGCTTTTTTGATTTTCTCCATATACACCAAAACTGTCAGTGCTGATGAACTCCTCCTCCCCACACATCAAGACCTCAGTGAGGGGACGCACACGCACACGCACACGCACACGCACATGCACACACACACACACACACACACACACACGTTTTTGATTTACAGGAGACAGGAAACTCTCCGGTTTATTTACGGCATCAAAGCCAAACACCTGCAGAGATGACATAAAAGCACTGATAATAACAAACTGAAAATGTCCAAAAGTTAGTGTATACATGTCAGCCTGACATCATAAACTCAACTCTGTAAAATGGTAAAATGACATAAAATGACATTTGTGTAAATAAATGTACTTGTGTATAAGGCTTAATAGACAACGAGGGAAATTTTGTGAAACCTTAACATCTGTCAAAATAATTCCTGTAACTAATGTCAACATTTTTTTATTTTATTTTTTTCAGATAGCCCACAAAAATCATAATTGCCATTCAATGGTTATCATGTTCTTCACCTTGTGACCAGCAGAGAGAGTCAGTGTGCATCTGTACATTTCTGATAAACCACCTTGTATTGTACATTGATACTTGTTACTATATGAATAGTGTAGCCACAGACTGTGTATTTTTGCATGAGAAAAAAATCTGGTTTTGAGAGTATCAGTGGTATCTCACACATTAAATAAAGATGAATGAGAAAATACTTTAGTATGACATGGCCTAACTAAAATTTCAAATAATCCCTCCACTAAACATTACATAGAAAACAAAACTAACTGTGTTTGGTTTACATGTCAGTCAGACCGTCTCTTCCCATCTACATGTTAGTGGTTCTTGTCCAGAATATTTTACAATGTGACTTTTGCCATGTTTAGTCAAAGTTCAGTCTACATGACTGAATGCAACTAGATGCAATCTTAAAGCTACTGAGAAAAAAGTCCAAATACAATGCTTGCCACTCTTACATAAGTGATTTTTCTTGTAGCAGTGTAGTAAAGTAGTAATGCACTACAATTGTAATACACGTTTAGAAGGATAATAAATCTATAAAAACACCTGCTAGTATCAGTGATTTGTCCTTTTGGAGTGGCATCATCATAGTTCTCAGATGTGTCATCAACACCTAAAAATACACCTATAATATTGTTTCTGTTCAATATACTTACAAACACACAAAGAATTTAAGATTGTTTCAAAATGAAACATTTTACAAATGCATTATGTGTTTAAAAATGCAAAAATACAACTAGGAAACATTACAAGATTTAATTAAAAGACAAATTTGTGCCAGCAACAGTCAGCTAGCAACAATCGCTAAACATCTCTCTTAAAAAAAATGAGGTTATTCATATCTCAAATTTAAAACACTTTAAATGAGAGCATGAGGGTGGAAATAAAACATGAAAAAATAGACACCATGTAAAGAGTAAAGAAATAACATAAAATAAATCTATATATCAGGAAGTTCGTCATCATACATTGTTGTTGTCTAAATAAAAGAATAAAAACTGTAAACCCCTTGTAAACCTTCTAATTTAAAAACAATGTTTTTATTTAATGAAAAATTTGCCTTATTAAATGAACTATTATTTATACGCTTTTTCTTTCCTTCTTGGGCCTGAAATGGAGGAATTTTGCTCAATACTGATAATTAAACAATATTTTGCTAAATGTGCTTTTGTGCTGAAACCTTGGCTGGTTTAGGCCTGTCATGGATAATGATGACCATAAAACCACCATTAGGTGGCAGCAAGCCACTGTTGTGATAAATGATTTATTGAATCGTTCAAATCAAACGATTCGTTCAAAACGGCTGATTCAATTAGAAACGAAACCATCCTGCGTCCCAATGTGCATACTATCCATTCTAAATTCTATGTGATAGTCAATAATTCACCCACAACAATAGGTGGCGCCAAATACGCATAAAACGAGTGTGCCATGAAATACGTAATGTAATGCGTGTTGTAAAGATCGCGAGTAAAAACAAAAGAAAAAGAAAACCTTACAGCTGCATGAGTCGTGACGGTCATGTTAGCCTGATGGGACCCAACCGATGTTGGAAGGAGGGTGGAAGCAGTCCTCGGGGAAGGAGGCCGGGGAACGGGCGACCGCTGGGGTTGGCGGAGC